TAAGCCCTTTATTATTAGTAATGGTTTTTACTATATTCAAAGAAGTTATAGTCTTGTTACATTTCAATAAAAGTTTATTATAATAGTAACGTTTTGCTGTCATAATAACCTTGGCTAAGATTCGACAATATTTCTTAAAGTGTTCTTTGATATGAGGATCATTGCTGTTTCTCAAACTAGATAAAGTTTCCTTTTATTAGCGCATGATGTTCTAATACCAGAAGTTAGCCGTGGTTTTAGTTTATACGAATATAGGGATTTTACCACAGGAAAGCATGCGTAGAAGATTCTAAGAAATGTGTCCAAGAAGTTATTAAAAGCCATATTCACAGTAGTTTAAGAAAAAACAGCTTCCCAATTTTCATAGCTAAACAAAAATGTAAATTGACCTATAGAGTAGTTATTGATATCTCTCCTAAAGTAATATACCTGTTTAGGGATAGGAATAGTAGTATTATTTAAGGTCTGAGCATCATGGTCAGACAGACCATTAATAAGAGGATGTACAGAAAATTTGTGCAAATTGGTATTAATATAAATATTATCTGTTAAGGTGCAGCAATTATTAAAAATTCTCATAAGAAAATTAATTGTACTAAAAAGATTAAAAGAAGCTAAGAGAGAGTCTAAAAGGTCTTTCCTATTATTATCGTTAAAACAGTTGGTGTTAAAATCACCACATAAAATTAATTCATTTGATATTTTATTCACTTTGTTAAGAATTAATTCCAATTGGTTTAAGAAGTAAGAAAAATTGCCAGTAGGGGATCTATATATACAGATGATGATAAAGTGGTTTGACATAAAATGTAACTTTAAAGCAGAAATTTCAAAGTCCTTCTCTTTATTAAATTGGTCAAGATTAATAGCAGTAAACTGAATATTCTTATGAGCCATAACACACACTCCTCCATGGCTGTATGTTTGTCTGCAAAAGGAAGTACCTACAATATACGGACTGAAGTTTAATTTACCTATTTCATCAATTCTCAGGTGATGTTCAGATAAGCAGATGATTTGTGGTGAATTAGCAGATAAGGAAATTAAAAATTCATCAACTTTGTTAATAATTCCTCGTATATTTTGATGGAGAATTGTTAATTTGGGTATTTTATGATCATGCACTATTTTATTGGAGGGGTAATTATTCTTACTATGAACAATGCCGTCGAATTGCCTGACACTATTCTTTTCGGTAGTGTTCACCATAGCTAACTGATTAGCACTTCAGTTACCCATAAGAAATCTTGGGACCTTGTTACTGGAATTTTTTTGTTGCGATTGGAGCTCCTAATAGGAGCTTTAACTAGGTGTTCTTCACATAATGGAGCATTCTTATTTTGCAATTCTTTGTGCCAACCAAGACTTATTGGAACCTGAACTTTCTGTTCAAAAAAAGACTGTATAAAGGAGCCTATCAAGTAAGTAGCCAGCCATTTCCCTAATTTATTTCGATGCAGCCCATGATTAGTAAATAACTTTCTATTGTTGTCAATTTCTATCACATTAGCATGGGGAAACGCTTTATTAGTTTCTTAATTTTCTTGTTTAAAACAGATATGCTGCTATTCACAAAAGCTGTATTAGGCAAATCATATCTAAATGGCACATTTATCACAGCTATATTTGTGTGTTTATTAGATTGTATGAAATTATAGATATTTCTCGAAACTAATGAGAACTCATTCAATTCATAGTCGTTTGTCCCACTACAAATTACTATTAAGTCTTCATTAGATAATTTACTAATCTCCTCTTTGGTCGAGTTCTTCAATTCACAGGAACTAGATCCAGGTTTAACTATACTCTAATTTTTACTAAGTAGGGGAGTCAAATTGCATCCATAACCTCTAAAGTGACTGTCACCAATAAAAATTACTCTATGTTTATTTGCTAGGGCATAGTTATCACTGTTTCACATATTAATGGACTGACTTAAGAGTATTTATGCTGTTCTCCAAAAAGTCATTATACTTCACATCAGGCATTTGCTTGTTATTTATACAAATTACACCTTTCACAACAGTTGGAATAGTCTGGTCTTCATTTTCCATTGTTGCCTGGTGGAGGTTCCCTTTGGAAGTTTTACTCTTCCTAGGTCCTTTATAATTCTTGTGATTCCTATGTGAAGAACAAGATGGAGGTCGTCCAGATTTCTGAAGTGGTATTCCAAAGTTAACTTCTTGGGGTCCATGATGGTTCACAAGGGACGTGAAACAATTAATGACTGGAACTGTATACCCAGGTGTAGTTGGTAAAGCTTGAGATGAATGCAGATTTTCCCTCCGAATTTCAGTCCATCCACTTTCAATTTCCCTTTCCATAATATTTTCTATTTGGGAATTAATGTTTCCACATAAGGGTGATGTTCCTGAGATCTTACGTTTGTCAACATTACATTCTTCAAATAAAATTTTAATTATCAATTGTGCAGATTTTAACTCAACTGTAAGCACCTTTAAGTAATTTATCATTTTAGAACAATTTTGGCACTTATTAACTTCATTCTCCCAAAATTCTGATCGATATAGTGAGAGCAGTTACTAAGCACATCTTCAACCGATGCCATACTGGACATATCAAAGGTTATTACTATTCTCTATACTTGTGAGTACTGAGTTCACACAGCAGCAAATACAATGGAATCCCCATTTAATGTTCCATAATTTAA